GCAGCATAAAGGACTGTTTTTGTACAACTAAAATAACTTGAAGCGGAAGACACCGGAAACCTGCCACGTTCGAGTTACAAAATGGCCGCCTTACAAATAAAGTCAACAGGCCTACAGATTAGAACTACGTATTTCAATTCTTTTGTTCAGTTATATTGCTAATATCAGGGTGTAATGATAACTTGTGGTTTTTGCGTATTTATGTGACTCTCTTGGATGTGGCAACTGTCAATATCCATTAACGATACATTTGCAGTGTGTGGCCCGTAACATCCTAACAGCCAGTTCACACTGTTGCGTTCATAAAATGTTGCATCTTCCACATGCAAGTGAGCTTTCTTCGCTTTGACCAGTTAATATTAAGCATTGTGATGCTGTCTCAAGTCCCTTACACTCTATAGAAGACAGCTGTGTGTCAAACCGGATCATGAATTCAGGGGCTGAGGTTTGTTGAACATGTCAGTGTGGCTGTGTACTGGAGAGTGCGTCATACTTTGCTGTGTGAGTCATCAGATATATTGTTAGGCTCAGGGAAGAGACGGCCCCTGCTCTCCGTCCAATCAGAGTTGGCCTTGGGTTCTTACACACACTCTTATGTGTCTCTCAGTATGTGTGTTTGTGTGTGACAGATCCACTGCCCGCTGATCACACATCTCGCATCCTGCCACACGGTGAGGATTTGCCAGCCAGCCGCCCAAGGACTGGAATCTGTTTGCCCAGTATGCCAGTGTTGACATGACACCTCACGATTTGATACGGATAAAGCCAGGAACCTGCAGAAATAAAGTGGAGCCCCTGTGTTTGTGGATTAAACAGTTATCACAAGGTAAACAAACCATTGAGTCTCACCGTGGAAATGTAACGAGCCTCTGTCTGTAAACTATAACATGTGGAGACAGGGAGTAGGAATCACAAACCTTGCTCTAACACAGCAGCAACAAACCTATCCATAACAATACAAACGTTTAACACATTATGATTTACAAAAGTTTCCATGTGTTCTGGTTTTCCTGAGACCCATCCAGCAAAAATGCACTGAAACCTGTGGATGAGGCAAAGCAAAGAAATGCTCTGGCAGGTTCTGTAAACAAGCCTTTGACGCATGACTAATATTGTGACGTCACAACAATAATTGTCTTTATTATTTAAAAAAAATAGCACATGTCTTGCCATGCAAAAAATAACTATTCAAAAAAGGGGCAAATTATTTTTCTAAATTAATCTCTGAAAGATTTAATCAAACTAAAGATTTTGAATGATTAAATTACTCGCAAGAATTAACACTGTTTATCATTGTAATAAATTAACAACAACAACAAAAA